CAGATAACTTAATCAAAACTTTTTAATTCTTCTGCTCGCGAACAGAGATGCATAGCTGTGCTTCAGCTAATGTTTAAGCACACACAACAACAACAACAACAACAACGACAACAAAGCTGGGCAAGGCTGGGTGCTCTTTACCAAGACATAGTTGTCTTGTCAGTAGAAACTGCTAATTAATTATTTTTCCAACAGCTGAATGGTAAGTATTTTCTATTATTCTATGTCATACTATTGTATAAATGTTCTGTGTTAAAGTGCTCCACACAATGTAACCTATCTTTGGTTAAAACATGCGATTACATTTATAACTTCCTATATAGAGAAATCAAGGCGTATGGAAAGAGAATAAATCTCATTGGTAGAGAGATCCGTATAATTGCGCTGTCGACAGGGCCTTACTGACAACAGGCAAAGAAGGCCTTCTCTGTGTTGAACACATGGACGATCTGCAACTTGAGCGCATAGACATTGGGTTTCACATAGCTACAATCTTGATTTTGATGTTTCCCAATGCGTTGCAAGTGAAGGAGAGCTCCAATAACGCTCCTGGAATCTTCATAAGAAGAGAAAACTTGTAAAATAAATTTTTACTGTTTTAATAAGAGCTGCTATCTTCAGCTCTGCCAGAGTTAATCACATTTCAATGTTAGAGTACGCAAATCCAGGCCTGCATATGTGCACATAATGAACAATGCTAAAGAACATCGTTTGTTTCGTTTCTGCAATATGTATGCGGACGCACGCATAGCAAAGTTAGACTTTTTATACTGACCTTTGAGCAGGGAAATCGTACAAAGTCAAGCTAACTGACAGCGACCGAGACGATTTGCAAGATTCTATTAAGTATTGATTAATTGACTGACTGATTCGGTAATCAGTACAAAAACTTTATATATACACCAGAAGCATTCATAAAGCGTTTATAACTTGAATACGTAAGGCGCCCCTTACCGGCAATATTAATAAAAAAAACCTGTATATAGCAAAAACGTATTCGGAACTTACGCTAACGTACTGTCGTCATATCAATTATAACGTGTGCTTCGCCTCACACCTTCACACATAGCTTAAGTCATTAGGTTAGAGCTGGTCAGTAGCAATTAGCAATTGGATTTATTAAATAGAATTGGAAAAATATAACTGTGTAAAGTACCAATATCACAATCAAGTTAGTGTCTTTCTCCATTATATGCTTATTTAATACACGGACGTAAATAATACTTACCCGTTGTGATAGCCCGTTCCCTTTAGCTGTTTGGCTTCATCGCCGATCTGCTGTGCACAGCAGCGGTAATTGCAAATACCATCGCGAATCTGTGATGAACCTTTTTTTCCTTATTTCTGGAGAGCACGGCTTCCTAGATCCTCTTTAAAACATTGGATGGTACCACAGACGAATAGAAGGTCTCACTTTTCCGTATTGCATCAGCTGGTCATGTACCCGGTTAATGCCCAGAAGTGGTCTAACTGAATCGAACGGTCAGCAATAATAAGTTCATTAATGCCACATATTATATTAAACCCTTAGGTAAACGTAAAATCTGTATGATATACATTTCCCTTTGTTGACACCTGTTATTCTCCCATCAGTTACCATTAGTTACCCATATGGAGATGGCAAAGGGGAGCTTAGCGGTGTCCACTGCTAATTAACGAGGTAATCTTGCCATGTGCCATTTTCAGAAAGGGTAAATTGTAAGCGACGAGCCTAAAGCTTGTATATTTATCAGTACTAAAAGCACCGCCTAAGATATGGTAGGTTTTGAGCACGCGTACTAGTGGCTCTAAACAAATCACGTTCGCTAGAAATAATTTTACAGACAATCAGTGTCGTTAAAGTTTGAAAGAAAATCTCATATGGCGAGTTCAGTATCTTAGCATTAAGATACAAGGGTTTACAACTCATGAGATTGTTCTAGCTTCTGTTCGACCCGACCGCTACGCTACTATCGTTTAGCCCAACTATGGCTGCGATTTTGATATTGTTTTCTTGCTAAGCTGCACAATAATCGATCGAAAATGTTCTAATTGGTTGAAAAATGTCTTTTTGGAACTCCTATGGAAACATTCGATCTCGACTGAATGAACTGACAAACGGGACATTAACGATAAATCACTATAAGGGCAAATGAAACGCCCTGACATACAAATCTGATTTGTTTGACCTCGTTGTTGGGTCAGTTTATGTTCTTGTCACGGACAGGCACGCAGGGTAAAGCTTATATTGACTATGAGATTTGGATTAGGTCATCATGCATGGAGACCCTAGGCCAAACCGCAGTTTGATGAACGTCCTATGAAAATGGCGGTGTCATCCTTCAGTAACTTTAGTCAAGTTTAACTTGCCTCTAGACTTGTTTGTCGTTAAAGGACAGTAGACGCGTCCCTAGCTGAGTTGTTGCTGGTCGAACAACGTTCTCCTCTTTGGCTGAAATTCAACCCGTTGATTAAGCGAACATCGATTCAGCTGGCGTTCGCGGCTAACGGCTTTGACTGACGTGTGATAATTGTAAGAATTATCTATTATATATTTAGCACTATCCAAAGACAAGGACGACATATATGCGTGAAGATTTTATTTAATTTCAAACTAAGCCTAGTAAGATGCCCAAGTCAAACTGCACAGCCGCTATCAAGTTAGCGCATTAAGCCTTTTTTGCTAACTTCAGCTCCAGTTTCAAAATGGAGCTGCTATCGCCGTTTTCGGTACACAGAAGGTAAAATGAACTTGAATGAATTTTAACTGCTATAAATAAATGTGAAACAATACAGCATTAATATACCAATGTCACATGTTCGTTGTCGTCGTATACGTAAGAGAAAAATCGGCTGTTCAGTTATTCTTTTTAATGAGCATTTATGTTTTATTTTATGAACATTTAACTAAATACATATGTGTTCGACCTTTAAAGGGTCGTGTCTAAGTTGATGTCGAGCGCTTTTATCCGACACCCCGAAGAAGCCAACATCTGCACTACAATCGACCCTTAACTTACTAAGCCCAAACAATGTGATTGGAACTACACGTATATTTTGCGGACTGTCATGTAGGCCTAATGAAATAGAAGCGGAATCATCAGCTTGCCACGTTCCTTATTAGCGCGGTAACGATTATCTTCACTAGCTAACTTGTCTCTGCTATTTTGCGGTTTAGGCGGATCCCTATCGTATAAAATTAGGTTCAAAAGTTGCTGTCGGCTAGTAACTTGGACTATCGATACCTGCAACCGAATATCTCTCGCTTAGTAGATAATTTTCTGCCTATTCCTAACAAGGTGTCAACCCAACAATAACTAGTTGTTGATTTGAAAATGTTTTTACTAGAGCTGTTCATAAAAGCAAACAATAAAGTGGTAAAAGCGCTCGGGTGGGCAGCCTTTCATTAAACGAAAAATTTTAATTAGCAAAATCGAGTCGAACATAAATGCCCGCTTCATATTCATTGAACAACGATCCTAAATATCATCGAGCATTGTCGGGTTTTTCTAGTTCGCAGAAAACGACATTAATACCGTAATGAGCACTGTGAGGCTTGACAGTCTCGTTCAAAATTGCTGCCGTGCTAAAAAAGCCCCTTCGTTTTGCGTCTGGTTAGAAATTTTAGCGTAGAAGGATTGTCTTAGCGAATTCTGCCCCACGAGGAATCTTTTATTTTTTAGCTTGATTTGAGCATTTTGAAGGATCGCTTGCTATTTCCAATCGTGTGTCTATAACTGGCAGTAATAATGTCGAGTTTTAAAAAATACCGCGCTATACATCACAGGTAACAGCGTTGTCGAACTACTGTCTTTGATGGCCCCCATCTACGTACACTCGAATAAACACATATAACATACATAAAACATATAGCTGTAGCGCACTAGTCTTGCACCTATCGTGCCGTGTTATGAAGCCTATGAAGTTACAAATACTGCCCCACGATGTTTTGAGGCTTTGGGCAATGGGCATTACGTACCCTTCAATAGCCAACTATTAAATTTACCCCGGCGTACTGCTGACGAGTATTTTATCAGAAAACTCCAGTTTGAAAGATGTTACAGCTAAACCGTCGCCTGGCTTCCATTGGTAATTTTTTGACAAAGGGCAAACTTTTTCGGGAGCCGCTGTTAAAAGTGTCGTTCTCGTATTTTACTTTGCATTCCGCATGATCCAGTTATCTATCTAGACTTGATCAATCCAATTGCGTTTGTCATAGACAGCTGTACACTATGTCCTTTGAAATGGGGCAGTGTTTAGACATCGTTAAATGGCGGTCTAGTATTTTCTCAAATTAGCTTACATGAACGTTTATCAGGGTACTCTAGCATTAAACCCGTTACTCAGCTCTCACTAGTATAATCTGCGGTACACTACAACGTATACGTTTGTGCTTTACCACTGCTGTTACTATGGTCCTGATCATGCCTCGACAATTCAACTAAGGTATTTTTTTCACGTTATCGTCGTAAGGAGACAGACAACTCTATCTGTCCTAGTTTTTCATTCTTTTCTTTTTTTCTTTATCGAAATTCACCACATTTCCAGCTTCGCGTACTGCTAAGTTGTTTACAGTAATAAATGAGGCTTCCGCTAGCATTATCCATATTAGAGCTGTCGTGCCACAAGCTACTGATCGACGCAGCGGAACGTTGGCCGTATGACGACTGGCTACGAAAAAAGGTCTCCGTTGCAATATGCTTGCGTTGAGGCTAGCTTCCAGTAATCAACTCCAACACTTTAAACCTTCTCACCTAAATCAAATGATTCACCCTTACTTTTGGAAACGGGACCACTATAGTTGACTACATAATTGCCAATGTAACTTTTATAGCCTTTGATCCGTATTCAAACGTTATTATTTCTTTCAGCTAGCAGCCATTCTAACAATTCGTTAATGATAGTTAATTGCTTGTGACAGATCCTAACTAAAGCACATAATCACATATCTCATGCTCTCACCGTAGATACCTACAAAATAACTAATCTTATATCAAATGTACTCAGAAACAATGAACACCAATTTTATTCATTTGTCCTAAAATCACAGCTCTATGGCCATATAAGACCGTGTGGCTGCGTGTACGGTACAGGTGTTTATTTGTACCAATGTATGCGGCATACCTTTTTCCGTGTAGCATCTTACGCTACCAGACTTAACATAATGCCTCACGAGCCATGTCACAGTGTCATAGTGGTTCCCACGCTTACAAGCTACTCTGGAATCGAGCATTGCTACGGTAGTCGCTGTTATGGAGACTCCATTATTGCGTTACATTTATTAGGCAAAATTGTTGATCTAGATTAGCCATTTTTTTTTTTTTTCATGATTTTAGCTCCTTTCGGAAGTAGATTCTGCTCACCATTTCTTACCGCTGCGTTTGTTTGCCTAATCAGTTAGAAAACTAAAGTCAATCCTGAGTTAAACTTAACTTGATGTTTATGGGCCTGGCATGTGACTTCAAATTGAAAGACAAACATTACTTTATGTAGAATAGCATTCTGTGCATGGCTTGTTTATATTTCGCCGCGAACGCTGTCGTTCTCTATAGACATAAATAAATTTGTGGAGCTACGATAATTTTATCGGTTTCTATAAACGACTACTGCTTTTGGCAAAGTTTAGGTAACTTTTCTTAATCATACAAATAAAAACTATCACTTTTAATGTAGTGTAATAATAACATATAATGATCAATGTTTTTAAGAAAAATGTTTTTGTCTTAATTTAATCTTTTTGACATGCCTCGAGGCTCCTACGACACAAATTTTCATATAGCCACAGCTTTAGTATTTAAAGATCTATAAAGATAAAACTGACCTTACATATATATATATATATATATATATATATATATATAACTTCTGCCCCTATATTCTTTAGTTAAAACAAAACATTTGATAAAACTCTTGGAGTTTACTCTTTGGGAAATCTTTTCTAGAGGAAATTGATTCAAATAGTATCACTAATAAAAGGGGCTAGATTCCGTTGACTATACGTTCTGCAAACGTTGAGAACAGTAAATAAAGCAATCACGACAACAAATTGATAGGACTGTCTCGATAGACAGCTTGTTTTTTTTAAAAATGCGCATCTAAAAATCCCGAATGTCAGCCAAAAATAATCTTCTTTCTTAGTGTTAGCTAAAAACTAGAAATATCAGTATTTTTGTAATTGTTGGTAATACGAATCTCAAAAATATATGCTTCTGCTCTAGTCAAGTTAAAAGTTTATACACAAGACGCCATTTTCCAGTAGTGAGGTCTTCCTTTTCGCAGATATTTATTAGTTAAGGCCTGCGGTTTTTCCGTCCGCGTGATGGCAGGCGCTAACAGCAAGTGATGGCTAATTTCTTAGGCGCCCATCGTATTCGAGAGATAGCAATAAACCTTCCCATTGATCGCTCAGATGTCTACGAACTTGTAAAATCTTGGTCGGACCTATTGAGCAAGTTTGTTTTCAGACCCGTTCCATAATTTCATTATCTATATATCATACTATCAGGTTCCCTTTACTACACACTAGAATTATTGCAGGAAAATAATATTGCTTTCATTACGCCCTACGTTTACGTTGTCACACGTACACAACTCACAATCAAAAAGAGAAGCATAGCGTTTGGGAAAAATAAGTCATGCACTTCTGCCTTTACTTAGCCACCTTGTTTACCCCCTGCTTTCCCGCTATCTTCCCGCCCAGTTTTCCCCGGTTCGATTCATGTTATGTATTTATTAATGCCTTTACCGGGTCCTGGGCGCCTCAGGTATTAACAACACACTTGATCAGTAGACCTATAAAGTTGTCGAATTTATAGTCCGCTTCTAATGGAGTAGGAATCTCGACTCCGGCATGGATATCAGTCTTATTCCTGGCTATATTCGCCAACGATTTAGCTGTTAAAATCTCCGATTTGATATATTATACGCGCGGTAGGCGTCAAAATTAAGGTTTGTGATATATTTCAAATCCATTTAGCTTTTCTTCTATTGAATTTACCGGTGGCAGAACGATCGACGTTTTCCGAGGAGTATCCATATCTCATATAAGATCGACCCGTTTCTCTTCTTAATCTGCTAAAAGATGTTCCTATTTTTAACCATAACGTATGCATCATATATGTATTATCTGTTTTTTTTCTGTGTCGACTCGTTGCGGTATTCACTGTCCCATCTTCGCACACCTATAGCTGCGCGAACGTTAAACTTTTTCCCATTGAAGTAAACTAGGCTCACTAGGACAAATAATTGAATCAAGTTGCTATTTTACGAGCACACGTTACTTACATAATTTCGGATTTTAAGGAAAATTTCGGATATAAGTTAATGTACTGTAGTAGAAACCCTCTGATACGAGCAGACCGGCTAAATTAGCCAAGTATGCATCTCACTTAAATCATTCCGCTTGATAATCGACGGAATGATTTTTAGTAGTCCCTATTCTAGAGCTAAAAAGTGAATTTCTTATTTTGTTGTAATCGACTTCGCTGGAGCCTCTTTCTATCTGGAAGGACAAATACATTTTTGCGTTCCCATTAGCTCCAGTCCTCCTCTCTTAATGGCGGCGACTATTGCGGAGTTTTCTACAACGTCGATGGTACGGTGGCAAGGCCAGCAACGATGCGTGTTGGCTGAACAAGCAGCTCGATATGGTGCCGGAGTGCGGGACAAATTGGTACCGTATGTGCAATTAGAAATAGGACTAGGTACGAGTTGCGCGGGCCTCTAATCCTCCTTCTTCTTCCATGTATTTCCTTTTCTAGTTCCCTTCAGGTAGCACACGTTTCCCATGTCCTTGTGTGGCCACACTCGCACGGTTCTGTACGAGTGTGACCCAAGACCACTGTTTGATTTGCTTTTTGTAGTCTACCTTTCTCCATTCTTCCGCTGAGCACTCGGTCGTTAGAGTCCGGCATCGTGATATTGCTCGTCACAGATCCGTCATTATGATGAAGGACTTGTCCGAGGCTTCGCTATTGCTCGCCGCATTCGAATGTAAGGTCGGCGCCTGTTGGTGTCACCTGGTGCGATCACGATTTTCGAACAGCAATGCTCGAATCCGAGTGCCATGCAAGAGATATAGCAGCAATGGGGGAACTAACAGATTGGCCTCGCACGCTAAATCCATTGTGACTAGCACTCCGCGTGGTACCGACGAGACGCATGCCCGAACCGTGTGCACTACGGCTACACATGATGGCACCTGCAAAACGGTTACGGGAAGAAAACGCAGCAGGTTAACAAGAAGATCCAGAGCAACGGTAGGTCTTCTTGAAGCCAATGTTATCTTTGCTTCAGTTTACGGTACTTTATCTGATTAATGGCAATGTCCGATTAAACGAGTGATAATACTCTATACTAATATAAAGTAAATAAAACCTATGGACAGCTGTCTCATATACTGGCTGTTCGTCGTCTAAAGCTTTCTGTTTTGTCATTAGCTACTTTGTACGTAAGTTTATACGTCTTTAGGCATCTAATAGCTATCGCACGCGACCGTCTGGCCAAGAGAAACCGTGCTCGGTAAACAAAATATCGCTGTTAGCTTTTTCGCGCGCGATTTTTACGTTCAACGTTGTCTTAGTCTATCGTTTTAGGCGACTGGTTGATACCAGCACGAAATTAAACGTGGCCACGCTCGCTCATCTCACACGTCCTTTGATTTAACAGGTGAACACGTTGCCACTGAGTTATGATGGAAACGTTGTCTATAACACCGCAATATATTCTACCCAGTTTAAAAAGCAAAATATATTGATGATTTAACATGGATGATTGTGTCATTAGGCAACAACTGATGAAAAAGTGCTGCGAGGTATGATGACATAATGTCATTTGGGTCATTCCGAGCAGGCTTAATCTTATTATTCTAAACCGATTTCAGCAGTTCATTATTACGAAGTGGACGAATTAAAAAGCCAACGTTTTTTTTACCTACTCTATACCAGTCTTCGCGCTCCACATCTACTTTGATTTGCATATTTGACCCTGAACGCCAAACTCTGCAATATAACAATCAGGAGTCAATGTTTCTCTCGTCTTGCCAGTAAACGTTAGCATCTAGTAGCGTCACGTACATCAATACTAATTGTACGAAAACAAACAATTAGTTTTATTGCATGAAGACATCTGATTCATACAAGGGATTTCTTTTCGCCTGTAGTGGATTTTCGTCTGACCCGATCGGCCCACCCAACGTCCATTCCAATCGGCTATGCGTGCCACGTCCACTCAGGACTTTTATCTTTTCCGCTCAGTTGTTCTAGTTGGATTATAGCTTGTCAGACGAGCAGGATGGAATAGTTACCGCATTCACGTGTTTGTCATACCTTGGCGTGCCAAACAGTCAGCCAATACCCAGGCATTTTGCCAAGATGCCGAGACACGTATCGACCAGACATTGGCTTCTCGCTAAAAACGGTAGACGAATGGGTACGCACATACCACAGGCCTATTAGCAACCTGTGGCCGCCAAAAGGAAACGTTACTATAGATGTGACGGCAGGGAAATAGGGAAAACAAAGTGTTGGCATACCGATAGAGCAACATTTGTCTGATTAGCGGTGGTCGTGGCGGTGCAAGTGGCTCACCTCACACGTAATTTGCACTGCAAAGCTCTACTTTTTTCATTTTCATAATCATCTATTTTCATTTTTGCCAAGTACCCTGTATATTAACATTAAAAACATTTCAGGATTTTTTAAATATTGAAATAAAAATAAAGATGATAAAAAAAAGAAAATATATATATATATATATATATGAGTCCTATGACTGCACTATTGCTTTCTGCGTCCTTGGACACGAGCCCGTTTAGTATCGTTCACAGGGGTCTCCGTAAAGGACACGGCTGCAGTTTTCGTTTGCCTCACGGTACGATTGATTAGCACACGTAACACGGCGGAAGCCATGAGCTGGATGGCACGGCTCCATGTCGGTTCTTCTTGTTTGCTCCGTCCATATCCCTTTAGCAAAGCGCCAGTGATGAAGAATTCTGGTTGACCCCAACCATTCGTTGCTCTCGTTTGTCTGGTAGGCTGGCGTTTTTGGTAAATTAAGCAGGCGTTCGAAATCCTCAATGAATAGCGGCGTACCCGCTGCCCAATACACGTGGCTGTTACGCCAAGATGTATGCAGGTCTAATATTCTCTTGAAAAAAGCAGGCTTCGCTTAGTCAAGTTTATACACTTGGCCTGTATTGAAGGTCACGGAGATGCGTTTGACGTCATTTAAGGCAATTGTTACGAGCTTGGTATTGAGGAAACGTTGTATTCAGAGACAGGAGCGACGCTTTTTTTTTTTATGGCAGTCATTACTAGCAATGTTTTTCTAACGCGTTTGGTCTAACATGCTCGGTGCAGCAAGTCTGGGAACAGAGTAGAGAGAAGCCTAGATAGAAAAAAATGCTTTACGTATTCCAGCGGCGAGAAAAGTTCGACCGGAGAGTGTTATTCGTGGCTAGTGGCCCTGCTCGTCGGAATTTCATGTCTTGGTATTACCCAAGTTACTTTAGGAGCTGGCACTCATTACGTACTATTCGAGCTAGCTGAACTTCAAACCGAGTCGTCATGTAGATCGCCAGGTCATCGGTATGCAGTGAAACATGTGCCTTACAGACCAGCGCTCGTGGACTATGCTACTCTGAAAGGTCGTGCAGGAAAAGTGAGAAAGGGGCTGAGGTCGTCGCTCTAAACCAATTTTGTCACCTGTCGAAGGGTTTCTAGTTCTGTCACGTCATCATGTATTGCAGTGAAATACTTCCGCAGAATGGAAGTTGCGTACTGAATAAACGTGTAGGGAATTCCTATTTTAGTGGACCTGAACAAAGTATGGTGGCCTGGTGCTTTATCAAATGCAGCTTTGAAATCAACGAATACAGCACAGATGAACTGTTTAATGCATTCTATACTTATGAGGCATTTTATCTTGGCAAGCAGAATTTGGCAAACAGTTATTGATGACGTTTCTCTACAAATGACGCGTTCTCATCACGCCCCGAATTTGCAGAATAACAAAGATATGCATGAAGCTACCTTATAGCAGTAACTCATTTGTAATGTTCCTTCGCAAGCTTGGCTCTCGATGATTGCCTTTGCGTTTCTGGATAACTGTAAGGAGTGTCTTCTGACAGTCTTCCGCTGTTCTGCCGTCATGGAGGCGGGCGCTGTTTTATAGCACGGTCCAGCATGAGGCGAATATTGCGGCGTGCTTGAGGTCTTGAGACCTGATCTGACGTGGTTTAGCCGCCTCGTCGGACTTTAGCTACTGGTTACCTCACCGACTGTAATGCTGCCCGCTATCGAGTCCTTACTTAATTTGTCTGCTTGCCCCACGCTACATTCTATTTCTGCATATGAATTGTTCCGAGGCAGTGCATTGTTGCCGGCTAGCATTTCTCGACAGAACCCGTCTTTTTCAGTAGGGCGGATCTTAGTATGAGCTCGTTAGGCGGTTTTCTGGCGCCGACATCGACAGTGGCACAGCTCGCACACTCACTCTCGCTACTAGCAGAATTCTCTTAAGATGTGCGAAAAAAAAATTATGTCATCATTATTATGACGTCCCTATTTAACGTGTACACCGACGGTAAATCGCGACCGTTACTTGACGTAAGGTCGCCAAGCAAATGGTGTTTTAGTCCGTAAGATAATTTGCTTTCCATGGATATACTGGATTCTATGAATTATTCCATTACTGTTTTCCAGTACATTGTCCTGATCTGACACTAGAAACCTGTAGATGCTGATGGAGCTTATCATTTTCATGGGCACAGCTGTTCTATCGCATAGTAATCGATTTTTTTATATTTGGTTTAACTACCACGAAGCCAAGCCGAGAAGTAAAAGGCTTATATATATATATATATTTTGCGTTCCTATATTTTCTATAACTATACTAGGAGTCAAGATGGTTGCCAGGGCGACTGACAGATATGTATACATCGATAGGCATCGATCGTTGAAAAGAAGACATCAAATAATGCTTCGGATACCTGGAGGACCTGCTTTTGAGGCTAAGGGTGTGTACAGCAAGTCCACTGAGCAGTTAGACTGAATTCGGGCCTAGAGGATTATTCGTTTGACAATAATGTACCTAATATATACACAGCGGCAGGCAAAGAAGCAATTTTTTTTATATCAACAAGATAATACAACAAATAATAGTAGTATTATATTACCGGAACGCATGATAGAGTAAGCTCTGAGCCATCCACTACGCAGCTGATCGGCGCCAACATCTCTGTCTACCTACATATGAAAATCGTCCTTCGTTACATAAATTCATTTTAGTGCATTCAGGCCAACTAACGGACCTTTTTTTCCCGGAGAGATCACTCGGTCTACTATTTCTTATATAACACATATAGTATATACTAGTTCAGACCCAAGATGACTCTGAATGTCTTTTATCTTAATGTATTCTATTTATATAATTTTACAATTTGTAGTACTTTGGAAGCTACCATAAATCGAGCTTGCTATGGAGTAGGTAGGATAGATAACCAAAATATTTGTACAGTTCTAAGTAAGTAAACCTCGTAAAGATATATACATTTATCACAAAGGATCATTTGCCATTATTTGTTCATTTGCTCCAAGTAAAGCTGTGGCATACATGCGCACGTACAACCCAACATGCAGTACTGCTTAATGCCGAAGGCACATGTCCATTGGAGACGATTAGCATTTGCCCAACGTAAAAGACTTCGTGCGAGGAGCACCAGTGAACAACCCAAACGTCCTTCGTCAGAGTTACCTTAGCGACACGTAGCTAGGGTACAACATCGCAGGTTGTTAACTGCCGTTCGAACGAGCATAACACGAACGGGTCAGGCCATGGCTCAGCGCAGACATTGGCCATCGAAATACATTGAGTCCGCCTATTAGGCCTTTCTAGCCTTATTATACATGTATGCGAACGAACAGCAGCTATAACTTATTTCTATATATATTCACCTGTTTGTAACTGCAGACGTAAACAGTTCGTATTTTTCCTGCGAAAATTATACACAAATATACCGGATACTAAACGTTATACAGGGCGGATAGGCACTACTAGAGTATTACGGAGCTTCTTGTGCTACTAACCAAAATACAGCAGAACAGACAGATGAAAAGGACGCTGAGCTTCTCCTTGCGGGGAAACAGGAGACGGGACTCGCCAGTCGCTTTGGCTGGCTGTTCCGGCGTTTGAATCAAGAACGCTAACGTCGCGTAGACAGATCCCAGAATAACAGGAAATAATAAAACAACATCTGTGAACAAGAGGTACGAGCAACTGTGTTTCGAATCCGCTGCAAGATCGCAGGCGTATAGCTCTGTAGGAAACGGAACAGAGATAAAGGAAACGTAGAAGATACAAGAAAAACACGAAAAGAGCACACTATAAGATAAACGTAATACGTTAAATTTCATGTGTAACGCAAACGTGTTTAGTCACTCGAGTGTATATATATATATATATATATATATATATATACAGTATAATGTGAAACGTTACGTTAAATTGTGTTGCAAGCATTGCGTATGCATCCGGCAGGAACTGGCACTAGTGACCTGCTTTTGAGAATGGTTAGGTCATAAGAGTGATAAACGCTATAACCTAACTAGGAATTTCGAAATAAGATAGTAGAATATTATGATGCATCTTTCTATCATCTTAATCTTTACTATTCGTTCTACAAGTTGTCTGAAGCATGACAATATACCCTTCGGTGACGTCACCGACGGAAAACGAGTGAGCGACCTTGTCTAACTAACACGTACTCTACTGAACAAACCTTCTAACCTTTCTAGCGGGTCGCTGTTCGTAGAAAATGGAGATCGGTCAAGTAAATGAACCTGTCTTTGAGATGGTTGTTCGTCTTACAGAATAACAACTACTTAAATATTCGTAAAAATCAAAAATGTAATTACTATTTTGTGTATTAGATAGATACAACTGTATATGGCAGAACTAACAATGCTGGACTGTGCACGACCAAGATAAATAAAGAGGGCCTATTTAATTAAACCATTACCCACAACAGTTTAACTTAATTGCATATAATTTGCAACTAATATTCTACCTGTATTCACTCCACTTAGTCCAGCATACTTTCCCTCCTATAGTTCACTGCCCCGGAGCCCAACAAGCAGACACATTTAACAGCACGTGAACGTGCTCTGTCATAGCACTCGTGCTATTATTCAAATGATGCGATAAGGGGATCTATCACGTAGAGGCGCACACTCAGTTTCCACTCGTCCGATTAGACTATACACGTTTGTACGTAAATAGAAATCGTACTTTCCATCTTGGATGATACAAGACTCGCACAGGCATAATGGAAATTCTCGTTGGGGACAAAAGGGAGCAATGATTCATTACGGCATGTCGACACGGCTAAAGCTGGGCCTGTTCCTGGTTCGGAAGCCTGCCAGTCAAGCCTCTTGAGCTATATTAGCATAATACACGCCAACCTACCGTGATGCTTGGGTCTGAGGACTTAAGTACAGATACTGTGGGGTGGGTCACACCTGTGATCGACCATTAATAAAAGTGGATCAAGTGGTTTGGGGCGGTTGTTAACCTATCCAGTCTGTTGGTACTATATTGCACGGAGTAATCTTCCTTCGGCGTTAACGATCTACAAATTCGCCCTCTCTCTCTTTCTTTTTTTTTTTGTTAGGTATTATCAAACCCCGATTTGCCCGAGGTTTCTTGCCTCTACGTACCTTTATCCGTAATACTGCTCTAGAATTTGGACCATGCAAATATATCACTATAAACACGAAGCAAATGCATCGTTATCGGTGAAGTTCACATTATGTCCTATGAACTTTTCAACGTATGATGTACCTATTTAACTAACATTTAATGTGAAAGGCCATTTCCCGAATCATCGAGCTCGAACCTATTCGAGTTTTTTTTTTCTTCCTTGTTACAACTATGCACTGTCTGTTTTTTCAAATGAAAAACTGAATTAGATACCACAACGCAGGCAAACCGACATTAACACATAGAGAGTATTGCTGGATTGCAGTTATATCAGTACTCGGTTGAATGCTGCGTAGTACTGGGAAAGGACTGTTGTTAATAGGGCGGCATTCGAACAGATTAACGTGGCATCCATTACCCTAACGGCAGCTGAAATAGAAACACCTTCGAAAAATAAGTAAGCTAGGTATCTACGAATCATGTCACTATTACAAAGTGAAGCAAAAATGAACTTACCAGGTATAAGATTGTACTTTCCCCACCCATAAACAGGCCCGGTGACCTGAGGGACAATAACTAGAAATAGCCCCGGAAGAATGACGTACGCATTTAATGGGCTGAACGTTAGCGTGTATTCATACGGACTACTGTTACGCATATATCTGAAATATCAAAGAAAGTATCGATCGGTTAGTGCTTACTTGTGGAGACGGTATTCAATAGAGTAACGCGTTTTCTTACGGAGCTGATTTCTAGCAATACACAAAGTTTTTTAGACGATTTTTATTGAGCGAACACGTTGGTAGGCTAGGTTACCATTTATATCAAGCAGTACATCCTAAACCGTCCAAAAAATTGTGAGTTTGTACCTATATGTTCGAGCTCTGGCCGGCAGCAAATAGCGGGGCATATGACTAAGTGTCCTTTGGGCATATTTCAACGAGAAATATATATCTAAAAGACTTGTAACGCCTAGCCTCTCTATTTCGAGACCTCTAGCTACAAATCGCGAAAAAGCTTCATTGACGGATTATAGTAGCCGAATAAATGCAATTTAAAAAGACGTAAATATTGATTTGTGTTTGCCTAAAAGTGTTATTTAAACCTTTTTAGTGTTAACCGGTCACTGAATGGCAGCCGATAGCAGCAACTAGAGCTTTAAGTTGAGGACGGTCGCAACGGGACTGTTTTCAACAATATTTATCATCAAGAACAACGCTAAGCTTTAAGGTAAGATTAAGTTAAAGTTAGACGAATAAACGACGGGTAACAAGTCAGTTTTTATACAAGCGAGAAGCTTGATAAAACTGAATCTGGAGATCTAAAGTTCGCGACTTGATATAGTCTTGATATATAGATATATTTCCCTTTACGCTAAAAATAATTCAAATCATTACAAGCTGCAATAACCCAGGAAATATATTTGATGGATCATTTTTCATTGGTATTTTATAAAAATTATCTTGAAAAAAATTCTAATAGAATAGCAGGCGTAGAAAATTCGTGCAGATAAAACCGAAACAACGGAAATGGGCGTAGTGTAAATTTGCCTCTAAAAAGCTGGCTTTAAGAATACAGCCATATCTTCTATTTTCTTTATTTCACCATAGTTCGAATCGACCAGTTAATAGGCAAAGTGAAATGCCTCTAATTTTTTTTATAAAACACAGTAACTCTTTCACTTTAATGACGAATTTTTAGCTGGAACACATTCATATTCTAATGTCGCTAGCATATATAAGAAAACGATATTGGCAACGAAAAATTCGAAAGCTATTTCCCGATCGTTCCTGCTTGCGGAAAAATACATCTTGCTTACTCTTGAGCTTATTTCTGCTATTATCATATGGTTTGGAAGCTCTGTGAGAATTTTCTTATTTCCGTTTACGTTCTGAATACGTTTCCACTGCTTTTACCCTCCTTCTGTCCCCCCCCCCCTCTACTTCATGCACCTCTCGCTTCTTAAGAAGAACGTACGAATACGAGACTACGGTGGCATGCCCTTGACGACGCGATCACTACAAAAGCAGCTGGCGGTACGTTCGTTTACCGACTTGGCTGCGTATTATCTTATCACCTTATCGTTTTCTTCTAGGCTTCAATATTTCTGATGAAATTTGTCCTCACCGTACCGTCGTCCTTGGTCAGTTAGCCACTGAACCAGCGATGGAATGAAACGAACAATAGAATAAAGATTTAGCAGTTAGCATTCAGCGGTACATTCAACCACTCATTCCCCGACTCCATTTAGCAAACAGGCTAATTCATCCCAATATTTTACATGGCCAGAGATAGAGTGTAGCGCTGTTAACGTGGAAAAGATATGCCAGACAGGCTGCAGTTTATGACAAAGAGTGGTTCGTAGTAGTCTGGCTGTCTGCGCTGGTGTGGTCGAAATTTCTCCGCAATAGAATAGGGGATTCCCTTTTCGTTGCTTCGTTGTCAACTTGGCAAACGCAGGAGCGCGACCATCTTTGCCTCGACTTGCAGCCCGTGCGCCTCGACCAACCCTAGCTATAGCGACGAACGATATTTACTACATGAAACAGTGTCAAGGGACGGAAGCAGACAAGAATGCTAAGATATTAAGGCGCTATGGAGAAGCGTGCTCGGGAAAACTTCATACGTAATAAGCGAGAAGTAATACGCCGATGACGATGAGGATCAAGACTTGGTGCCGGCGTTCATCGTACTCCCTGAGCCACTTTCATGGCTTTCTTTTTCTCATGCTGATCTCGGATCGCCGTCGACGTTAAGCTTTGAGTCCCTGAACAAACTTAGCTTGACGAAGTCGGTGCGCGTCTGATAATCTACACTGATCTCTTCTTCCATAAGCTGTTCTTCTGTTAGCTCACTGGAGCCATCTAGCCAACTGTTTGTTCAAAAAATCGTTAATGCCGCTCCCTCCTGCGTTTGTTTTCTGTTTGAAGCACCAATCAGAGCAGCGAATATAGGCGGATTCTCTTCCGTAAATACCGAAACTGCACGAGCTAAAATGTAGCTCTATTCATATATTTCTACGGTATACGCATAACCTCCTGGAAGGCTCTGCGTTTGAACAAAAGAGCTTTAAAAATATCAAGCAATGCAAGGAAAGGAAAAACGCATGTCCGGGATGCTTATCCTTTGTGCTTATATTGTAACGACGTCGAAAATCCATATTCCAGAAAAACGTGCGGGAAAAGTTACAAATCTAGCGTATGTACGCAAAGGAGCGTTTGATTCATACAATCTAGCCATGAATCATTCAGCTAGTAACAAATCTAAAAAACCCGACTCGTTTAACTAAATATGAAAACCATTGCATGCTCTACATGTCTTTCTTGTTAATAGGGGATTGATTTATGTTTAGATCTACTCAAATTGGCCTACTTTATTCATATATTCCGCAGGTATTGTAAATATCTTACAACAACAACGGTTAATATGAAGAGCGGTGACCTACCTGTTTATTGAGACGGGATATACATGGCATCCATGAATTTTACTAGTGGTAACTGAAGATATATACGAACTTAGACAATTTGCCTTGGCACCGTCTTTTTATTCGTAGTCTCTTTATTCCCCGGTGCATTCACTGGGGTAAACCAATGCAGGAAATATCGATGGTATATTGCCGAAGAAACTAATTCTTTTTTTTTCATTTTCATGCACATCATCCAGCGTAAAAATGTTGCGTTCGATCCATCGCGTCACTCGTTGGCTCGAAGAAGGCCAAATAAAAAAATTTCAGTTAGAACTGCAGCTTAATCGAACTTGAGAAAGTACCTTCTAAAAAGTAGGTTGTCAAGTAGAACATTTGTGCGACTGTTAAAGGTACAAAACAATTAACGATACCATAAGCTGCTTTCTTTGTATCACATATATTCGACGAACCTCACATTGCCACATATCGATTGGTTGATATACGTTAGCTCGTTCTGGTCTTTGCAGAGGGCAAATAGATCATTTTTGCATAAAGCTGTAAGGTATGGAAAACGTGTTTCCTATAGCCAAATGGCTCCAAAGAAGACAACATCCAGTCCTCAAAATAACATTATTTTCTTCAAAGTATCGCTAGTGAATAATGACGCTCTGCGTCGACAACTCATTGAACGACCAATTAACGTTAATCCGTGCTTATGAAACCCAAATAAGGCCAAAACTGGAGTTTCCTTCAAGGTTACGAACATAAGCGTTAGTATCAAGCAAAATGTTTATGAGAGAAGACTACTCTAGCGCTGGGGGTAGGTGAGGAGTCAAATCATGGAAAAGTTAATGGAACAACGCAAGTTTTTCTTTGCGTGGCGCCATTGGGGTAAAGCTGTGAACGTAATGCATTTTAAATGTGAGATAGATGATAATATACCACGTCCGCTAATAAATCGTGTATACCGATACGATACATCCTGCTTATGCTCAGAACCGGTCTAATTTGATCGAACCGTCGGTAACTAGAAGCTCATTAATTTTCGATATCGTGTTTCGTTTGTGGCTAAAGATGGAAAAGGTCTGTATGATATGCATTTTCCTTTCGTGGCGTAATATTCGACTCCTAACAGTCCAGTATATTGTGCTTGTAATGATCATTCATCATAGGGAGTAATATGGTACTCCAAGCCAAACTTGTTGATCTTTTTGATCACTTCGCTGCGACTGTATTGAAAGTATTTAACGACCATTTGTCACCGACATGAAGATACCAACAACGAAGATTGATGAGGTACACTGCTAATCGGCGAGGTGATTTGCTCAGCAGGAAAAGCAAACTATAAACGATGAGCCTTAAGTGGACATACCGCTATTGCGAGAACGTTTTTCGCCCTATGAAAACATGTCACACGTCGTTTATATTTATTTTAAGGTTCTACGCTTTTATCGAAGCTATTAAAATGTTACTACTAAATGTTCATTATGTTAGGCTCTTACAAGCAGATTCGGCAGAATTTGAAAATGAATGACTTGTGAGCTATTAGAGCAAAAGTAATGATTTTTAATATCTATTAGGGAAATTCTCCTCGAAGATTAGTGCAATCGTCTCATTATTTTTACAGTTTCTGGACCGCCACAGATTTATCATTGGCGTTCTTATATGCAATTTTTCTATCTATGACTTCTTGAAGTAAATCGGTAGCAGGATATGGTAGCCTACTAATTAGTTTCTTTAGGGGCATGGAAAACCCCACGGAGTATGAGGAAACGATCACATGGACTTGGATCGGGTGAATAAGCAGGTTGAAGCCAACGTTGGAGATTTACTTGGTCAATATAGGTGATAATTGAAGCATAGCGATGAGGTTTGGCATTATCATCAAGTAACCACGTTGTGTACTTCTGATGGCTGTGCCAATGGCCCACAAGACTTTAGAAAAACTCAAGATAGCAAACTGTATTGATTATTTCGTTTTTTCGAGTATGTTATAGTAGCGGATCCGCCTGCTGTTCATTAAACGTACTAGTGTCAGCTTACGTACGGACCTCTTGCATTGCTACCGAACTTGATCCCTCTCCGCGCGACGCCTTTCGATCGCTTAATCTCTCTCTAGCCAGCGATAAGATTGACCTATGCTTCGTCTATCGCGATCGTATGTTTTAGGCGGCTTTTTTGTTGATCAAAATTCCATTAAACTGGAAATATAATATACCATACGCATTTCCAACTGGCCTGAAGTCATTTCACAGTTTCTCGCTTTCCGCAGTTTTAGTGTTTAGGTTATGGTTCCGTAACAGATTACATATGAAACGCGAGTTTTGGCCGACAGAGCACTTAAACTGCAAGCTCTGCCTTCGTAAAAAGTCTCCTCGATTACGGCAATGCGTTCTCGTTTTTTAGTTACCGACATCTGGTCATTTCCTCGATGGTCTTCTTTCTCTAATCTCCGTCCTTGAACCATTTGTACTGTTTACAACAATCTTTGATAAATTTCCCTAGTGTTTCAAGAAACAAAGAATTAACCATTAAGCGTTGATTTTCGAGAATAAAAGATGTTCTTCCACTAAACCTATTTCTTCTGAAAAAACTGGTTTTCACTCACAGGTTTTTAGAATATTAGGGCATTTTACAGTGATATTTCGTCTGCTAACGGCGCGTATTTTTAAAGCTGGCTAGCTAACTTCAGAGTCCATTGGATTCGCTTAAAAATAAAAAAATTCTTGTTGGTTGTCAAAAAAAGATCCAGCAGACAACGTGTTGATGCTTATTACTCACAGCGAGTAATAAGCAACAAAATAACCAAAAAAGGCTTACACATTTTAGCCTGCGAATATGCATAGGCAGGCTATGCAATACATGCACGTCTAAATATACAAACTCACCTCTCTATGACGAACATCATCAGGTACCAGAAGTGTAGGTATTCGAGAAGTGCGCTTAAGAAGCCCTGCAGTTGGCACGAGATTAAGCCCACGGCCGGTTCGCCTATAAAGAAAGCGGTTAATTGTTGATCTTCGATGCAAATACGTGCATAATCTGTCGATATAGAAACTATAATATGGGTTGCTTCTTAACTTAAATAAAGAAGCAGTGGTTGGATAGTTAGCCTGATGCCAATTATTTAAAGAGCGCTTTAATCTAGCCCTTAAGGAACATATTGTATTATTTGAAATAAACTCTGAAATCTATAAAAAAAAACTTCGACCGGTCATGAGTTATCGAAAAATTCATATGCATGTTTTCGTTTACAGCGATAAATTTGTTCAGCTTTCCAGCTCAGCCTTTCTGGAAGATTCAGTTCTTTTGATTCCCTGGTCTCTACATATGCCAGGTTATATGAATTAGTCCTCACCACCATCAACTCTATAGGTATTCAAGTAGATCCGACATATAAATAGTTGTAGAAAACTATTCACGTACGCGCATTACATTACGGACGCCTGTAGAGTGTAATATAGATTACGTTGAAAATAATACTGCTTATGGAAAAAATACGTTCATCCATTTTTCTAGCTAGAGAGTTAGCTATTGGAACATGTTTGCTAAATCATAAGTTACATCGGCTCAATATGCGCCAGATTTTATTATTTACAAAGCCTATTGTCCAAATTTCACATGTTTATTAAGTAAACATTTCATTTCTTCCTTTTGTATTTAATAATCAAACTTATAGGCTTACAGACGTTCGAAGATGGATAAATAATACTCGAAAGGGTCGAGACGAAATTGCTAGCGGCTTTTTCTATTCAACACAACTCGCTATAATTCTTATATAATCTCTACCGGTGATTTAAAACCTGTTTGTTGGCTACCCGTAGTTCGCAGCTACACTCGAAGTTTACTACAGGCTTTTTCTATTATCCACTTGACGTTCGACATATGGGTCACTACTTGGGGGGCGCTGCAACGGACCAGGCTATCTTGTGCTACAGCGTTGCATTTGCATTATAATAAAATTTTCTGCTTTAATTAATTTTACGGTCAGGCTCATTTGGTATGCTGTGTTTACCGTACTATGGGAAAGGAAATGACATCGTACATCTTTTATTTTCAACTTTCCGTACATATATTATAATTTTATTATGCAACTTCACAACGGACTCAGTAGTGACAGAGAGACTTTCGACTTCCATCCCTCCTACTAGTCAATCTTTACCCCACAAACAATTTTAATGACTATGTTTGCTGAAGAACAAACGCGCCCTGATACAACAAATCGAATCCAACAGCTTCTAATGACAGTTTTAACAGCTGTTATTGGAGTATCAACGCTCCGTTTTTGGGGTTGTTTAAGATTATCCTTCGGGAAGGAATATCCCTTCGGAATATAAGAGTGTAACCCTAGGTCGCCTGATGTAACCAAGGAAGAAATGCGTCGCAATATCTATTCTTAATCACGCGGTACGACGAATTCGCAAAGTTCCCGTTTTTCTTTTAAGTTTGTTATAATAAAGGGAACAAGCGTAGCATACCTATCGACGGCTAGCCAAGCTAAAGAAGCTATACAGATTATGATATGATGTCGATTTGTTATTATCCATCGTCTATTCTGAGTGCCGAAATTTCGATGGAGAGACATGGTCTTTGAAATTTGTGGGTTGTTGTCACTTTTGAGTATAAATAGTCCAACTCGATGTTGTTATCGTAACTCTATCCATGCGTATCAAGAAAATGTTGCGGCGGTAATTTCTTTATCTAGTAAATAGAATGTCTTTGTGATGAACAAATCATAGGTAGCGCTCAGGACCCATGTCAGAGCTGTGAGTAGGCTTACGTTGCTGCGGCTTTGTTTACAATAGATATACGCTAGCATAAGACGACGTCCTGATTTCCGTTTCGTTAGAACATTTACCTAGAACAGTACACAAGTCTTTGTTGCTAACAGTTTACGTTTTTATTGATGCGACGATATATTATGGTACGTAACCAGACACTTTAATGGAGAATACCCCAGTTCCTCGTAATGTTGTCAGACAGACTGAGAAATTGAAGTTTACATTCATACCTAAAATAATGCTCACTTTATCTTAGCACAAATACACAGGTAGATACACACCCTTCGAAGCGTCTCCACGAGTGTCGTGTGAGCTCTGAGAATAGCTACAAACATAAATTCCTCCTCCTCCTCCTCTCATGTGTACAAGTTGTGTTAGCTTTCCCTAACGTGTTTCTCTGAAGTTTCCATGTTGGTCTTTCATTTTTCTGGCTAATATGGACATCCATATCTTCATTACTAGTATAAATTGCCGTTTTCCTACATAGTTTCAGGACATAGAGATCAAAGATCTTATCGAATTACTGCGTGGCGTTAGCAATAGAGATTACTACGATTACCCAGCATCAATGTTCTCCCTCGTGCTAGCTGTGGTGGATGATAAATTTAAATCTATTTTTAGACGAAAGGCTCATTTGCTCGTTACCAGATAGCGTACAAGTGCTAGTAGGAAGTCATTCATTCGAGTTTGCCGGCACCCCGTTTGCTGGAACGCTCTTTTTACCTTTTTTCTCTTTGTCAATTGTCTTTGCAAATTTTTCAGTGGCAGCGCACTTTCTAGGTTTGTGGTACGACCTGCGCCAGTCAAGCGTCCTAAACGCTTTCGAGGCGTTGATACATGCCAGTTAATTTTATCAGATTGTGCTATTTCTTCATGTGGGCGTAGACGAAGGCATAGTAGCGTAGCTCTGAGTTAAAACGTTGGCAGACATTGACAGCGCCGCGAAAACAGATCATCCCTCAACGAAACGAATTTCAATAACCCGAATTCTTCACCAGCAGCATGACGGCAAATGAAACAGTGGGAAACAAAACAGTTACAGGAACTGTGTTCCTGCTGCTATTCCTGCAGCTTTTGCCTCTGACACCTACGGTAGGAGCGTCGTTACCGTTAGGCGTGGTTACTTCTTTCTTCTACTGGAAGGTGGTTACTACTAATTGCTATAGAGATAACTCCATTACCGTGCTCTGTAGGCCGCGAACGTCAGCGAAAGCCTTTATATGAACGTATCGCAAGTGTTTTGTATGGAAGACTACATCTGTGTGCGCGCATGAATAAACTCTAACATAGAAGGTTCAATTTTCGAACTTGATGGCCGCAAGTTTTACATTTTCAGTGGAACTGTTGATTATTGTCGAGTCATGTCGAGGCAAAATTGGCAGTTGCTGTCTCGTGAGCTCATTAATCTAACTATGTCTCTAAGGTGTCGTAGCTATGACTGCCAGAAAAGAAAATTGCGCTTATTTGATCTTAAAATACAACCATTGGTTGGCATGATGTGAGTGTATCGGCATAGAAAATTAATAATATGACTCGAAGATTCAGCCGATTACTCAGTCCGCCAGTGAAGCTTTCGCTTCGGCCGCTTTCTTGACGCTGTTACTCGTTTCAGGTATGCTCCTTTAGCCCAGCTAATCCGCGTGTTCCCGTAGTAACGTAGTGGATAATGTGTTCGTTCATCTGGTAAGCTTAACGATACGATATAGGTTTAATTTAAGCGTAGGCATACCTTGCTTCGTGCTAGAATCTACCAGTCTAAAATAGAGTACCGGACGTAAAGCATAAAAAATATTAGCTGATCTACACTTTGAACTGTTAATCCGCGTCTCCCTATTAATTGTGAGGTCGTATGGCGGCGACAAAGTCTCAGCCAGCCCTTTGTAGTAAGGCGACGCTAGTAAGCAAGCCGCTATTAGCAAAAGAAATAGGAAAAATGTTGGAAAGAAGAGGAAAGAAAGACAAGGCGGCAAAACTGACGAATCTATAAAAGTCTTCCTCTGGTGCGTCTCCGTAAGATTCCGGTCGTATTAATGGAATCGAATAGTGCGTAAAGGAATTTGTGTAAAGAAGCTAGCGAAATGATGATCATGCAGCAACCTCAGAGCAAAAAGATTGAGACAGTAAAGTCGCAAAACATATAATATTCAAGGATTCCTAGGTGACTACCATTAAATGGCAAGCGCCGAACAAACGAGAAAACGACAAATTTTTCATGACCCTGACGGACAAAGTTTTTCTACAGTTCACCTAGGTTCCACCCAGTGAAGAATTTCGGCCTGGCGAGATTGATAAGGTTACGATGTTTGCCTGGTCTCTTGCTATGGGTGCCAGAGGCTGAACAACCTGGCAGTAGTATGCAGAACTAAATCAACCCACAAGAACTGCGGCCCATCTGGTCTCAAGGCTCTAAATGTTAATAGTGGACTGTAATAGAGCTCATTGAGCTACTTACTTCCATTTCAAATGTATATAGAAGGTCTGAATGTCAACAAGTAGGATTTGAGCATCGAAATATGACTGGCGTTGAAATGATTGACCGATAGCTGAAGTAGACATTTGGAAGATCAAGCCTAAAGCAAATCGAATGCTGCTGCTGCTGCTGCTACGGTGTGGACTGTCGTAGCTGGAACGTCAATTGAGAATGAATCTTTACAGTTCCACCAAAGTCCGTTATCTCGTTAACGCCTAAGAGGAAGATCATTAAACGATTCACGAGGATATCATGTAAGATTAGATCGTGAGATCCTTGAGTCCACTACATAGTGTGTAAATGGTAACGTTCCCAGAAGCTGCCAGAGTATTTAAAAGGCGTTATGAATGCCCCCGGTCCAGTAATGGCTGCTATTAGTCCGGAGACTATAGTTATTTCATATAGTGCACTATGAATAAACTCAGTACAATTAACACACTTAAGTCAAATTAAGAAGGGTGTTGAATCTGATATTATATTATCCCAGACTAATAATTTCTCTGTGGTTCATGTTAATGCTGACCTAGTTGCCTAAATGCTGAAAGACCTAGAAAATCAGGGCAACCTAAGACTGACAGCTTCTGTTAGGGATGAGGGCCTACATACGATACAATGGCTGTAAGTGAAGTATACTTGAAAGGTGTTGATTACGCCAGCTATAGTGTGTCTGAATGCTGTTTCTGTGCTAATGGCAGTGAATAGAGAAGACGGTGCAGCGGTGTAGTCAAAATACTTTCCGT